ACCTGTAGTTGATCTTTCTTTTTATGTTTGATATCCTTCTCACAAACTATTTTTCTTTAGTGACGTTTCTAGCAATATATATAAGCAAATAAAAAACACAATAAGAGAGACAAACCACACATATGGATTGTAGTTACAGCTATTTGCCTTCATTATTTAAACCAGTAATTGGTATCTGATTCGCCATATATGGCGTTTCTAAGTTCTAACAATGTAAGACAGGGTAATCTAAGCTGCTCTTGAGACTATTTTAGGTAATGGAGATACAATTGACAGTTCAAGTATATCCTGTTCGGGTAACTTCTGGCATTTTTGTTTCTTTTTGGGATAATGTTACCACTTTAGGTAACGAGACGCAGGAAGAGAAATTGAGAAAAAATTTTCTTGGACCGATTATAAAAGGAGGACAGTTTTTTAGGAAATGATAATTTCTAACAATTTTCTTTCCTTAATACAAAAGTAACTTCGATTTTGGTTGATTTTTTAATAGAATAAACAGTTATCGTAATAGTTATAGCTGTATATATATATCTGTATATATATATACATATTGAATTGTACTTTATATTTTGTATATTTTGATCAATACGAAAAGCAAGGTTATTAGAGGAAATTAATTAAAAGAAATTCTGTAATAGTCAAATATTTCATTATTTTACTTTAAACTTAGATTATTTATTTTATTTTATTTTATTTTATTTTAACATTATTTAAAATTAGAATAGAAGGGATAAAAGAAATCAAACATACACACCATACAGTTTTAGATTTTACAAGAATATAAGTATATATTTCATAGATAAAGTTATATTCAACGATTTGTATTGTTTTGCCCTATCCATATTGAAGGTAGAAACAATTTAAGAAAGCTAATTACTTCCTATATATTCGTAGTGTCTATTTGAATCAAAAATTAAATTTTTGAACAAAATAAAGACAACAAACAGAGATATAAGATAATCGAGACTACCCAAATTAAAAAAAGGAATTAAAAATCTTAACGAGGGAATAATAACCAAAAGTGACCCTAATTCCTTATATCAATTATCATTCATTATAAAGTATTTAAACTACTTACATCATTACTTTTTTATTTTTTTATTGTCATTAAAACTATTTCAGTTTTTATAACTAACTAACTATACAGATACTCTTTCCAACGTTTATTTAAAATGAACTCAGAAGACGAAGACTTTAACGATATCTATGGTGACGAACCTGTAGCTGAAACCAAGAATGATTCTAATACTACCGCACCAGCTGCTACTAAAGAATCTTCAGAAGATAAACAAGAACAACCTACTTCTTCGTTAGATCAATTGGCTGCTTTACAAGCTTTATCTTCAAATTTGAATAACTTAGCTACTCCAAATAGTAATAGTAATAATAATACTTCTACAGATCTAAATAATACTACTAATAACACACAATCTACTGAATCAGAAGCAGCAGCTGTATCAACAGCAACTGGCGCTTCAGATGCCTCTGCCTCTATGGCAGGTGGAAGCACAACTACTTCAGGAAATGTTGCAGCTCCTGGAGGTCTACCTTGGGAACAATTACGTCAAACAATGTCACAATTACAACAACCTGCAGATTCTTCAAGACCTGTTAAGGCTGATTTATCAAAAGATAGCTGTAAGATGTTCATTGGTGGTTTGAATTGGGAGACTACTGAAGAAACCCTACGTGATTATTTCAACAAATATGGTAAAGTTGTTGAATTAAAAATTATGAAAGATAATAATACTGGTAGATCAAGAGGTTTTGGTTTCTTAACTTTTGAAGATGCTACAAGTGTCGATGAAGTAGTCAAGACTCAACATATTCTTGATGGTAAAGTTATCGATCCAAAAAGAGCTATTCCAAGAGAAGAACAAGATAAGACTGGTAAGATTTTTGTAGGTGGTATTGGTGCTGATGTCAGACCAAAGGAATTTGAAGATTTCTTTGCACAATATGGTACTATTATTGATGCCCAACTAATGTTGGACAAGGACACTGGTAGATCAAGAGGTTTCGGTTTTGTAACATATGATTCCCCAGATGCTGTTGATAGAGTTTGTCAAAATAAATTCATTGAATTTAAAGGTAAGCAAATCGAAATCAAGAGGGCTGAACCAAGAACCAATCAGAAACCAACTCAACAACAAGCACCACAGCAGATGATGCAAAATATGAATCCAATGATGTATCAAAACCCAATGATGTCTGGATTCAACCCAATGTATAATCAACAGGCTATGACTGATTATTATCAACAAATGCAACAATATTATCAACAGATGCAACAACAAACTGGTGTAGATTATACTCAAATGTTCCAACAACAGATGTCAATGATGATGCCAGGCATGGGTAATATGGCTGGTGCTTCTGGTGCTGGCGCGGGTACAGGTTCCGCCAGCAATTCAAACACAGGCACTCCACAAGATACCAATAATGGCGGTGCCAGCGGTAATGTTCAAACCATCGGTGGTGAATCTTCAGAATCTAAAGATGAAGAAAAAGGTTCTGATTCATCAATAAACTTGCCAAAGGGCCCAAGGGGTCCAGCATCTCCAGCAAACGATTATGAGCGTAGCAATGATCGTGGTGACCGCAGTGACCGTAGTGATCGTAACGATCGTGACTACTATCGTGGATCTAATAACGGTCACCGTAGAAGAGATCACCGTAGTAGCAGTGGAGGGTTCCGTGGTGGCCGTGGTGGTAGTAGACGTAAGCACGGATACCATCCATACAACAGGTAAAGTCATTACATTGAGGTAAATAAGATACCCATAATGCTTTCCTTCATTTCATCATCAACAAATAAAAACTGCCATAATCATAATATTAATAATACGTACTAAGCAATTGATATATAAACTATAATAGCACATGTTTGTAACACTAAATTTCAGTATCTTTGATAAATCCCAAATGATGCATAGGGTTCCAAGTAAAGGTTAGACATGAATGCGGAATCCAGTTAGTATTATTATTATTAAATTTATTAGTATTTAATGCATATATATATATATATATATAGAAGAATGTTTAAAAAACAAATTATTTAATATTATTACTGTTAGAGAATAAACTAAAATTGAGTATATCTAAATTATTTTAATTCTTTTAAATTAAATGGTAAATGGGAGTAGACTATAAAATGTACATATAAATTATTCTAATGAAAATTTAAAGATAAACAGTTTATTCATCTTCTTCCAAAGTTTGAGCGGCGATACGATCCAAATCTCTTTGACCATTTTCAGAGATTCTTCTACCACCCTTTGGAGAGATTTCGACAACACCGATCTTTTCCAAAGCTTGCAAGACTCTTCTGTTGATAGAACCGGAAGCATCAATGTGCTTGAATGGTCTAACACCTCTGCTCTTGGCACCACCGTACAATTTGTTCAACTTACCGACACCGACTTCTTTTCTCAAGTAGATGTGTCTAGCGACAGAAGCGGCACGCTTGTAGAACCAACCTTCAGAGTCTTGTGGTGGCATTTCGTTACCAGAAGAGGTCTTGACGATGTCAACGTAACCTGGAACTTCCAACTTACCTTGTCTTTGCAAGAAAGTGGCGTAAGCGTTGATGAAATCTTGAGCAGCAACGTCTCTGTATAAATAAAATAGATTTAAAATTATTTGTTAGTAAAAAATGCAATTTAGGAATATCGCTGATATAGTTATAAGAAATTGAAACTTTTAAATATGCATGGATATTTTTAGTAAGAATGTCTAACTTTTGATGATTTCATTGGAGTTTCGAATTATAGTTGGCTATTAAAGAAATCCAAAGATAATTGTTCCGTTATAATATTAACTTTTTGTTTGTTCATTTAATCGTGTTTATCATTATCCTTGCTTCCACTAACCATATTCCTGTTTATATATTTTTCATGATTTGAAATCGACTGTATTAGTTATGAAGTTTGCGTATCTTGTATATTGAGTGAATTCGCTGTTCTAATATTCCACAGATAGTCATACAAATACATATATATATATATATATATATATGATTCCAATTCGTTTCTAATTTCTTGTGCTAAATCGAAAATAAACAGTTTTGATATCAATAATATTCTAATGTACATACCTGACTGAAACACCTGGCATTTTTAGCTTTGATGGTTTTTCTTGTAACTGGAGTATTAGTATATAGTTGGTATATAAAGTAACAAAGCTAGGGTAGCCTTTAATATATAGAAGTTGATAAAATACAATCGATATAAACTAAAGATTATTGGGAACTAGGTAATGAAATGATGGCAACATAGAGTGGACATGATTGATAGGTAATAGCATGATAGCAGAATAAATTGAATTAAAGAAATTACATACAAAGTAGGTGGGTTACTGCAAGTTTGGTTGGTGGTAAACTGGTAGAAATTGTATTGATGGTGGTGATGATAGTAGCAATGGTACTGGGATGATGATGATGATGATGATGTTGATGATGAAGTCGGTGATGGCAATAATGTTGGTGATGAGAATTGGTGAAAAGTTTCACTGAGCTGTGAAAAGTTGAGTGATGTTGAAGAAATTAGAGAGAATGAGAGTATTCCTTTCGAGAGTGGGAAAAGAAGTGTAGAAGAGAAGTTGGAGTTTAGTGGGGGAGGTGGTGGTAGGAGCAACAGAGAAATTGAACTTAGTAGGAGACGCTCTTCTTGCTAGACCTAGTGAGGATAGACTAGTGTTGGGTTTGCATTTTGTCAGTCTGAACAGAAGAGAACAAGCAGATCAGAAAGTCTTTGGAAGGGAACCAACCAAACCAAATCAAACCAAACCAAACCAAACCAAACCAACTCAACCCAGTTGGAAAACGACAAGTACGCGCAACAAGAACAAAACAATGACGATAAAAACAGAAAGACGAACCGATTCCAAACCAGCGAAGAAATCCAACTTTGTTTTATCGATGGCAGTTTGTTTTGTCGGTTACTTTTGAAATTTGGTTTCAATAATGAAAATAATAAAAGAAGCCGAAAAACTGACGGACACCAACAAGGAAAAATAGTTTAGAAAATACACCCAAACACCATAGAATGTACGGATGTTATAAATAGTCACTCGTGATATTAGACAGCAGCGCTATCACTCTCAGCTCGTTCCTCTTTTACTCTTTTTCTTTTACTGTAAACGTCATCTAATTAGTCTATATATAATTTTTTCTAATGGTAGCAGTCTGGCCAATTAATTAGCTGGCTAGATGGCTGGCCCCAAGACCTATCAATTTCGCGTCCCCCCCCTCATATTATGAACTTTATTTACAAGTTTCAAGAATATCTAACAGTAAGAACAACAGAATAAAATAAAACACTTAGTTTTATTGTGCGTCACTGGAGCGAACGATAATTCCCGACTGCATATAGCTACGTGCCACTATCGAATCCAAGGTCAGATGACCAAATCAAAAAATAGGAAACAGAAATATCTGTTGGAAGGTATATCAAGAAACATGAAACATCTAACCGATAAGGACGAAATCCAACAATATAACATTGATTAAACTATTTATAGCAACTAAGTTTAATTGATAACCCTTAAATATGTCGACCTATTCTTATCGCATACAGATCATGATACAACATTACCCTACCTCTTTCCTGCCCACNATCGTGCTACTTCTTCTTCTTTGTCTCCNAATCTCTCTCGATCTGGGTCTCGGCCCTNCACATCCCTCCATACCTCCCCTCAATTATGTAACCAACTATAACACGAAGTTCCATACATTAAAAGTTTCACCTACATTTCCGTCCCTCTTCTAGAATCAAGCTCTTGCTATCCCATTCCAGTCATTCCTTTGCGTCTACTTTTTACTATTGACATTCGCTGCCTATTCGCACAAGAAAGAAGGCCTTGTAATACTTGTTTAGTATTTGATTACGACAACTATAAGCACTACATTATATACTTTACTGATACTATATCATATCAAATCAAATCATATTAAATCAAACCAAATCCTATCATATCATAACAGTTAGGCAACTAACAAACTGACAGAAACCATTATTCTTTGGTACAAACGACGTAACTGAACACCGCTAATTACTTGTGGTTTGATCTATATCCAATATATTATAATTATAACTACTATTGTTATTGTTATTGGTATTTTTACTATTCAATATAGGTTCGTTAAAAACTTTAACGATGTCATCGTGGATCATATTTGCTATTTGATCGATTGATCCAATTGTAATAACTACGTAAATGTATTTCTTTCTTTGTTCCTTTGATCTAACCCATCACACACTACCTGCATCATCCACTCAATTACCTACATTACCAATATATACTCTTAACTTAACTCTCCTTTACCTCATTTCCCTCTTCTCTTCCTTTCTCTTCCACACATGAACAATTCTCTCTCTCTCTTTCGAGATGTATCTATCCTTTCTTGAATTTTTCACTGAAATGACAAACAATTGGAAGCCTGTTTTTACCCATTCTTCTTTGGTTTCACTACACCTTAGCTTTGAAATTTTTGATTTATCGATTTAAGGAATAACGTTAAATTTATATTTGGAATTAACTTATTTCATGTTATATTATTGTTCAATATAAAGATTTTATTATATGGTTGATAGACTTCGTCGATAATTTTTTTTTTGCATCCAGATCAACGACATCTAGTGCTCACATATATAAATGAATATAAGAATATATTTATTTATTTAGCACACAAATTACATATGTATACTTGCATGTTTATTTAGATACTTATTTTGCATCCATAAATTCACAGACACAATTTTTATTTGTTGTTGTTACCATTGTTATTTATTATCTCTGCATATAGAAGATCAAAGTTACTCCTCTCATTCCTCTTCCCTTCCAAATTTCAATCCTAGATAATTAGAATTTGACACATTATTACGATGTCTGATGATACTCAATTGGATAAAAGAGTAAGTGATCTAGAGCGACAGATTTCAATGTTTGAAAAAATGTTGCTGACTTTAAGTGGTGCTCTAGATCAACATTTTAAAAAATATGATTTGGTGATATCTACTCAACAACAGCAAATTGTCGATTTGAATGCAGTTATTTCCACTTTGCTCAATGATCAATTCAGGCACACCGAAATCACAAGAGAAAAATTATCTTCAACTTTACATGGTATCTCAGCAACTTCAATTTCAGTTGCAAATACAATAAACACAGAACATAGAGTTCCTTCTTACTCCTCAATGAAGAACGTTTCAAATCAAAATTCAATTTCAATTTCAAAACCAAATAATGAAAGTATAAATAATTCAAATCCAGATCAAAGAACTAATTTACATATTTTACAATCTTTACCAACAAGAACTACAACGGCAAGAACAACGACAATATCATCGTCTTCCTCTTCTTCCACTGTGCCAACAACAGGACTAAACACAACCGCACCAACAACAATCACAAGTTCTAATGGCACTGCTAATAATGATTCATCAATGAGTGAAAATGCAGTTACAGATTTAACTCAAGCTACTCAGCTAATGAATACGTCAAGTTTAGTGGGACCAAATCAAACCAACACATCTTCAACCGATGCTATCAATGCATCTCATCATGATTTAAATGATAACAGAATTAATGTAAATTCCATTCTACAGCAATCCGAGTCAACTGGTTCATTACCAATTCATATCGGTCGCCAAGATAATAAAAATTCATCAATTGCTCCACAATTCACAGACAATCATGATAATGATATTCATTTCACTGATGTATCAAATAGTGTATTAGGGAACTCGTCATCAACAGTTAAAAACGGTACAAATACAACTTCAACAACATTGTCTTCATCAATTGTCCAAGGTAATCCCACCATTGTCCCATCGGTAGACGCAAGTTCACTTGCGAAATCAATTTCAAGTACATCTACAAATTCACCTTCTGTAACGAAAGATGGGTTGGCAATGTTACAACTAGGGAAAAACGATTCTGGGAATAATACGGGCAATAACAATAATGACGAAACACGAAATGAAGGAATTAGTGATACAAATGAAAATCAGGATGATAATGAAATAAGTGGTACTGGTACCCCAAACAATGAAGATGACGATATTTTTAAATCAAAATCTGGCAGGAAGAAAAAGAAAAATGTGTATGTTGGCGATTTCCAATTTCTAAAATCACCACATTCAGTGATGGATTTATGGAAAGAATATACAGAAGGTATCAATGGCCAACCATCAATAAGAGAATTGGAATCTATATATCAAACTGGGTGGAGACGAGACCCTGCTGTGAATAAAAGATTTTCAAGACGTAAAGTACTCTACAAAGCAATAGAAACAGGTTTGAATCGCGGATACAGTCTCGATTACATTATAAAAATTTTGGAAGATTATAGATATGTCGATAGAAATAAAAATCAAAAAAGACCAATTGGTTGGATATTCCATTCGGCAAATATTCCAGATATCCTAAGATGAAAACATGCATTCTCAGTTCTTGTATAGAAAGAAAATTCATTCAGGAACGAAGAGACAAAAATAAACACAAAAATGTTTTAATTATAAAACAAATGTCATATTAGAGCTTCTATCGAAGAAGCTTTATCCAATTAATATTTCTAAACTAAAAATAAAGTGTTTCTTATATTATCACTTTTCCAATGGGCAAATTTTTATTTTTATTTTTATTTTTTGTTCAATTCCTGAAGAGTCAATAGTACATCGGACAAATAAGGTCTCACTTGATTAGTGTATTGCCAAGTATTCTAAAGTAGCGCTAAACTTATGATCTTTGTATATTTGAGGTTGACAATACTAGCGTCACCATTTGCCAACCGCCAGCCAGTAATTCATTTACTGTCAATTAAGAAAAACATGTATCATTATCAACGGAACTTTTTTTATCAAAATTTGATGAATATAAACCTCAATTGCACATTAGAAGAGCTAAAAGTTAGTTAGCTAGACATCTATATATTAACAAAATAATTTTATATTTATCATTGAATTAAAAGGTAACTATACCAATATCGAATAGAACTATTTATATTTATACATACAAGTATATCTTATAATACAATTTTTGTGTTTTTTTAGCAAAGGTTCTATTCATCGTTGGGGGAGAAACTAATTCGATGTCGACTACTGAAAAGAATAAAGATATAGTTATCATCAATGATAATGTTAGTGAGGAGAATGATGATTATGATGATTATGATGGACATATAGGTAACCCTCTGACGATTTCTGACTCTAGTGCTGAGAGTAATAATGGTGATAATAAAGTTCCTAAACTGCGCAGTGATATAGACACAAATAATGATTTTATTGCATTCTCTGATTCATCAGAAGATGAAAAGGAAAATGACGACATTAATGAAAAGGAATCAAAGGATGAAGATGCAAATATATTGAATATGGATTTTCCTTGGACTATAAACCGTGATCATTCTAAACAGAAAGAAATTGCAGACTGGTTAACGTTAGAGATTAGAGATTTTGTATCTTATATTTCACCAAATCGGAAAGAAATTGAATTACGTAACCAAACTATTGGCAAACTTCGTGATGCAGTACAGCACCATTGGCCTGATGCGAACTTACATGTATTTGGGTCCTATGCTACTGATTTATACCTACCTGGTTCAGATATTGATTGTGTTGTGAATAGTAAAGCTGGTGACAAACAATCGAGAAATTGTTTATATTCGTTAGCTAGTCATCTTAAGAAGGAAGGATTAGCGGAAGATATTGAAATAATTGCAAAGGCCAGAGTACCAATCATCAAATTTGTAGAGCCTTTATCAAAAATTCACGTCGACGTATCATTTGAAAGAACTAACGGTTTAGAAGCGGCAAAATTAATTAGAGGTTGGTTAGATAGCACTAATGGTTTAAGAGAGCTGGTACTTATTGTAAAGCAATTTCTGCAAGCTAGACGACTAAATAAAGTTCATACCGGTGGTCTTGGTGGTTTCTCAATCATCTGTCTTGTTTACTCGTTTTTGCATTTGCATCCAAGAATTCTCGCTAATGAGATTAATCCAATAGAAAATCTTGGTGTATTATTAATAGATTTTTTTGAATTATATGGTAAAAATTTTGGTTATGATCATGTGGCATTAAGTGTAATGAATGGTAAAGCTACTTACTTACCAAAGAGTAATTGGAAAGAATTACATCCAATAAAATCTACATTCCAATTGGCCATTCAGGATCCAGGTGATGCAACAAATAATATCAGCAGAGGTTCCTTCAATATAAGAGATATCAAGAAGGCATTTGCGGGCGCATTTGACCTTTTAACAAATAGATGTTTTGAATTACATAGGGCCAAATTGAAAGATAGACAAGGTTGTAGCATATTAGGAAACGTCATTAAATACAGAGGAAAAGCAAGAGATTTCAGAGATGAAAGAGGTCTTGTTGAAAATAAAGCAATTATTGAGAACGAAAACTATCATAAAAGACGTAGTAGGATTATTCATGGAAGTGATAATGAAGAGGAAGAAGAGGAGGAGGAATCAGATAAAGAAGATGATCCTTATAATATAGAAGAACCTCCAATGAAAAAATTGAAACGTAGTAGCTCTATCAAAGAAGATGACGGCAATGCTAAGAAAAAACCAAGAAAGGAGAGAAATAGACGCCAAAAGGAAGACCAAGATGACGAAGAGGAAGAAGATGATTACAATCCATTGAAAAGATAATTATAATCAGTTCTACCATAATATTGAAACAGATTAAAGCATATAGATACACACACAGTCATACACGACAGAGTTAGCATCAAAATACATACATACATATATAATTTAATACCTAATTAACACTGGTCAATTTACATTTATCTCTTGGGTTTTTGTTTATAGATTCTTATTCTCTTCCAATATGTCAGTGGTAAAAATTTAAATTTGTGGCTATTGGTCTTTGCCTTTTGTATTTAAGAAGACTTTTAATAATCGAAGATTGGGTTATATAAGAATCTTAATTCCTTTTTAATGTTTAGTAAAAAGTATAATCTTTTAATCGTTAAATTAAAGAAATTATTAAATTTCGTGAACAGAAGTGAGATTCATTTTGTAATGAGTATTGGTTGAGTGTGTCTATATATATATATATCCAATACAGCTAGTTCAACTGTATTTTTGTTTACCGCTGAGACTCTCTTTTATGTGAAGGCCGTCTCTTCACATCGTATTGATATACAACATTACCCGGTGTTTGTAGTCACGTTACCAAACATACAAATACATAAATCACATGACACGAACCCGTGATTTAAATTTATCGTTCTAAAGCGATGAATTAAACTTATGGAATGAAATGATTGATCAAAGTAAATTTTATTAACCGTAACGGTTATTTCAGTTAATTATAATCAATCAAATCTAGATATATCTGATTACATTGTTAACTGTATTGGTTAAAATTTCGATATAAACACCATTTGTGAAAATTGTGTTGCCATCAATTTCTGTCTCTAGAAGATCCAGAAACGTTTCAAAATTCAACGAAGGAATTCATTTGAAATTTGTTTGATAGAAAACTCGGTTATTGTAGGGTTCCCTTTAAATTTCTTTGTATATATTTCAAATATATATCTTCATTGCAAGAAGAATTTTGAACATTAATCCAAGATTAACCTTGGGAAAAGTTCAATATGGCAAGACCAAGAAGGGGGAAGAGATCAAGAGCTGAAGTAGTGGAAGAAGAAGAGACTCAACAGCATTCGGATTTTAAATGGGAGGAATATGTCTCTGAGGACATATTAACTCAATTGGCAAAAATTCCTGAACCAACCAATTTGTTAACTAAATTGGATTCTCTTGAATGGTATCATGAAATAGTAAAAACATGGACATTCCAATATGTTATTGCATGGCTTTATAATGTCTGCGAATCATACACTACATCAAATCATGAAACTTCAGACAATTCTAAACTGAGCGTTATGTGGAAAGATATTAAATTTGATGAATTGTTATTTTTGCAAGATTTAATAAGTGATAATGAAGTATACGAAGAAGATGAATTGGAAGATTCATCTATTTATAAAAAAGTGAGAGTCAGATTACTAAGACAGATATCTAATAATAAATCTGTACAGCTTTCTGATTGGGACGTAATTATTAACCATAACTTGGGATTAGAGGAGAAAAATATAAACTTTAATGAATTAAGCATAGCAGAGAAGTTTGATATATTTTATCAGATAATCAAAATAATCGAAAGAAAAAGTCTCGTTTTTAAGAATTATATTGGTAATGAAAACGCATTGATACTGTTTGAGTACCCTGAATTTGTATTGGATAACAAGAAATCATTATTTATACTTCCTAACATAGGTGTCATAATAGAAAAAGAATTAACCAATGACAAAGATATACAGTTGAATATCCCGATAAAATTAGAGAATTGTACAATCACCTATGAAGATGAAGAAAATTCTTCAATTGAAGTGGTTCATCTTGAGTACTCAAACGAAATAGATGATTACATCAACTCATTCAAGATAAAATACAACTCGTTAACATACGATTGGCTGACCTATATCGAGTACATAAAAAATTGCCAGAATGATGAATTATTAAAATTCTTATTACAGTTCATCCAACCTTTTGCAGAACATTTAATCTACACTAGAAAAACGTTGATTCACAGAGAGAAAGAAAGATCAATGGCTGAATTGCTAACAAGAAGAAAAAGATCATCGAGATTGGTTGCTAGAGAGGAGGAAACCAAAAAGAAGGATGTTGAAAATCAATGGTATGATAAGTTAGATGAAAGGGAAAATTTCTTGAAATCCAAGCATAAGAACGTTGTTAAAAATACTAAAAAAATAAAGGACATTCTATGGAATGAACTTTGGACCTTATATGAACAAGATTTAAGGGCAGAAAAATTAAAAAATCGTACTAAGGAGAATCCAACTGATGAAAACAAACCACAAACTGCAGTTGATGAAAATGAGTTATTAAACAGCAATGATCTAGCTGTCATCAATAATGGTCCGAATTTTACAAAGAGAATAACTGCTTTGCCGCCACCAAATACCGATACTCATGAAAATAATGTAGTCGTGAGAGATATCCCTGACGACTATTGCATTACTCAAGAGGAAATTGACGATGTTGCAAATCATGGTGTTTCAACAGTGAACGAAAAAGTTGATGATAAATCTTGGGTATTTGAATGTGAAAACTGTCATTTGCTTGACAAAAATAAGCAAAGTAATGAGGATAACTCTGGTGAACAAAAAATTATCAATACCCCTGACGATATAGATGCTAATATAATGAATTACCCCATCTTATGTTGTGACGCATGTTCTAAGTGGCAGCATTGGGAATGTCAAGATCCTAAATTAATAGAATTAATTTCTCTAGCAAACACTCCAAAAAATAAGGTATTTAGCATGTTTACCCAGAGAGACTTTGGCACTGTAACACTGAGTCATCAAGGTGGGGGCAGAAGGTCAACTCGTCTTCAATCACCTAATGCTGATGAAACAACACAATTTAGACCAATTGATAAAAGAAAACCTATCGAAGAGTCTGTAATGCTAATATGTTCTAGGTGTGTCGCTAATATTGAAACAGAACTTCGTAATATCTTTGTACCAGAATTAAAGATGATGAGAGCAAAGCGTAAAAAGCAGCAAGAAGATAGAGAGAGAAGAAAGAAAGTAAAAGAAGAAAAGAAGAAATTAGCAGAACAGAAGAAGTTAGAAGAGCAAAAAAAGTTAGAGGAACAAAGAAAAACAGATGAACAGCAAACTTTGTTATCTACGAAGCCACAATTGACAAATAACACAAGCATACAACATGACCCAATGTTTTCAAAAACTACTCTTTCATCTGGGTTTATCTCATCTCCAGTGGATACGAATTCTCCATTTCATAAGACTACATTTGGATCAACCAGTTCTGTATCATCCTTCAAGGAAACAGCAATGACCCAGACTAGTGTAACAAAACCGACGGTGGTTACTAATCCATCTAATGATAATAATTTCGGTTCTAACAACAGTATAACACCGTTAGTAGAGTCAACTAGCACTCCTATAACAGTAAATAAAGATCATGTTGTTCCAATTCCCAGCAAAGAAAATAATTCAAACAATATTAACTCTAATAATAATAACACATTAGCTACTATTAATAATCCTCACTCTGGGGTTATGGGACATGAGAATAGTCCCGATAATAATGGAACTAACCAGCATATTCCAGGTTTATAACCTGGACTTAAAACCGTTTTAATGGGTAAATATAGTTTATTATAGATCAAATAGTAATATGTATGTTAATAGGACATATTGTGTATCATTTTTTATTATCCATTTCTATCTATGAGTAAAACAACACTAATAAAGGAAGTTGTTAAGAATCCGTAAATATGCCTAAATTTGTGTAGAAGATACCTTATTTGTATTTACTTCTGAAATTAAGTAGGTACATTTTGAAGGTGTTAAACTTTATATAAATTTTAAAGCTATTAGTTATTTAATAATACAAACGAAATTAATTTTGATATATTCCGAGATCAATGGTACCCAATGGATAATTTTAAAGAATATTGGATATTTTTAATATCAAAGGAGAACTTAGAATTAGGATCATTGGAAGAATTTAATTGAGTATTGATCGAAAAAAATGCCAGGAGAATTTGCTAATGAAATCTCAGATACATTTTCCAATAGTGCTTTCACTACTTTAATCGCTGCTTTATTTTCTTGAAACTTTTGTTTGTATTTCAAATGAATGGTTAAAGGATATAATGGCGCATCTGATGAAATTAAATATGTATTTATTCGACTGTCCACCAATTTCATATCTTTATATTTTCCTGGAGGATCTATGGTTAATTCTGAATAATGCTTTGAAGATAATAAGTTTGGGTCAATAAATCCAAGTTTCCATGCTCCAGTCTGCTGTTCAGAGCTTGTATCTACATTTTCTTCCTCAATTGAAAGACCCGATCTTTTAAAAATATAAATGATTTTATTATGATTCTTTAAATAAGTTAGATTTATCAATTCGTCGAAATCGAAATTTTTCAGTTGTCATCTGTCCCAGTTTTTCGGATGTAAACTTCTCTTGTAGAATTGGCTTTTTAAACTGAAGGTCTACCTTAATTATACATGACGTAATATTAGAAAAACCTTCTTCTGTAATGCTAAAATTCCAAAATGAATTCCTGATCTCAAACTGAAATTTAAAAATACAAGATCCAGTTTGTAAAACTCTGGTTGATCCAAAAACCGAATTTGAAGACCCAAGCAGGGTGCTATATTAAAATTAGCAATAAAAAAATTAAAAATTCAGTGGAGTATCAGAATTAGACAGAGTAGAATTCAACAGTTGAAGAAATTCCATAAGAATCTAGAGAGAGGAAGGTGCTAAAAGCGTACATAAAGTACGGCAGCAAGATAAAACAGTGAACAGGAATATAAGGTGATGCACGTATTAAAGGTCAATATTGCTCTATGTAATTGAAAGAGATACAAAAATATAAACTAGCAGAAAAGGAACAATATTTCTCCAGACGACAGTAAACAAAAGAGATTAATCAGTGGAGCTCATGAC